GACTCTAGATGAGGGGTGTCCCTGCCCACGGCAGGAAGGGTGGATTAGATGATCTCCAAGGTCTCTTCCAACCTAAGCTATTCTATGAAAAATTGATGTTGGAGCTCAGTGCTCCCTCACAAGCAAGGCTGCTTTCTCCAGAATGCGTTTTAGAAAAACAGAAGCTTAGCTTACTGTGGTCTTTCCATGTTGTAGACCTCCTTCTGGTTCTTTGTAGCCCACACGAGCAACAAAATCTACCTATTTCCATAAGAAGCATGAAAATAAGTGTGACTGACATTGCTCTTTTAGTCATAAGCTTTCTACTACTGTTTCTCAAAAGTGCACCAACTCTCACTCCATTTTGATCAGGTGAGAACGGAGGTTTGCTTGTCAAGTGTTTTAACTTGGCACTAAAAAGACAAAGCCTCCCAGGAATGAATCTTGACATGGAATTGAAACAGAGCAGTACAAGGGCACCCACAGGGTTACTGGCATTTGAGTCAAGAGAAGGCTGTTAAATAAAACTCAGATTACAACCCCTGTCGAATCCAAACCTTAAATTCTAGGCCCTACAGTAACCTGATGGTACGTAAAGCACACCTGATGGGGTTACAAAGGTGCATGGGGTATCTCACACGGGACATCTTCCCTAGCCTGTCTGATTTGACCTGTCTGGCAGCATCAGAGGGGCTTGGTGTCCAGTGCTATCACTGAACAAGATGCCCTCTCCTTTTGGGAGGACAGAGTAGAAGCAGATGTTCCATATCAGCTTTCACTTACATGGATATCACAGTCTATGATGAACACGGCCTGATCCGGTTTGGTTTCCATTACCCAAAGCTCACAGATCTGGAAAAGTGATGTGGATTTTAAGATGGCATATGAAAGGGCTCAACTTCTGTATAAGAAAGGCATTATGAGACCTTTCCCTGCAGACAGTTTAAAGAAAATTTAATTAAGTGCTCCTTGCATTGGAGGACTGGAGCCTGCAGGGTCTCTCCAGAACATGAGAGCAAAGATTTTTAACCTAGATAGAGGATTGCTATATGCTGGAGCTAGAGAACTTCACTTCTGCTGTTCCATGCTGCCCTCTTCCTGTACCTTAATCCACATTTTTGAAAGTCAAGTAGTCATTTATGAGAAAATTGAAGAGGAACTTGTAAAAGCATCTGCAACAAAATCCCCATATTTTCTCCTGAGTCAAGAAACTGTGTAAACAGCAGCTCAGGAGAAGACTTGACTGATCCCTCTTCTCCAGGAGAGAAATAGATTTTGAAATCCACCACCTGGAATGACTTGTCAGCAATACTCCACGGCTTTGTGTTGACTTTTTCAGCACCAACATCCAACAAGTGAGTTTCGTCTACAGCCCCAAGCGATCATATGTACATGTGTTGCCAAAAAAACTCATTTAGAGAATCTGTCCCCAGGATGGAGGTAAAGTACTTCCCTGGTCACAATCTACTGAAATACAGCGTTCTTTCTGACGTGGGGCAGAACTGACTTCCTCGGGCAAACCCTATCCAAGCAAACCCTGAATGGACTGGTGTCTACTGTACCTTTCCGTTGTAGCTGATGGCAATGACATCCCCAGTGGTTAGACAGGCCAAATTGCACAATGCTTTTTATAATCTTTGGAGTATGTTAAGGTGAAATGGTTGTTTCCAATGCAACATCAAAGTTTTAAAGTTACTCTGCTATAAAACTCTGAGCTTTGGCCTCTCAAAGGTGGTTTCAAGGTCAGCAGTACTGTAGACAGCCTTTTAGTTAACATTAGGGTGTAGAAGCTCTTCTAAAGCATGCTTCAGCCAAGATCCATGCTTCCCACACAACAGGCTACACTTTGTGCCAGTGGTTTGCGACAGCTCTGTACGTGAGCTCTCCATCCTTTCTGTTTGTCATAGGAGCAGCAAGAGTTACCTCTTCCTGGGAGAGAATGAGCCACACCTGAACAGCTCTCTCTGCTTCATTGTTCCAATCTGGGAGAAATGTTTTGTCCCCTGCTCCATAACTGATAGGAAGGATACACAGCTTTGATGTGGGGGATGCTGAGAAAATCTGGGCTCTGTGGCTGGAATTCTGCATAAGTCCCAGCTGGAAGATTAACACTGTCCACCTGTACCGGGCTGCCCTCTTCCAGCAGCAGGTTCTGCATCATCTGCAAGAATTCAAGCAAAGATATAAAGCACTATCAGCAAGACCCATGTTTCTCATTCTTTCTCCTTGCATATACATATTTTTGCTGGGGCACCCATCTTCACAGGCACACACAGACATGTGTGGTCTGGAAACTTTCTGCCTCTTTTCCATTAAACTGGTGACTGGCAACTATTACTTCTCAGACTTGGATGGTTCAACATGAGACAACTCACCCAGCATGGAAGGTAACATATGCCCTCCTCAGCCACAAATTCCCACACTCCACAGATATACATATTTTTGCTGGGGCACCCATCTTCACAGGCACACACAGACATGTGTGGTCTGGAAACTTTCTGCCTCTTTTCCATTAAACTGGTGACTGGCAACTATTACTTCTCAGACTTGGATGGTTCAACATGAGACAACTCACCCAGCATGGAAGGTAACATATGCCCTCCTCAGCCACAAATTCCCACACTCCACAGTGTGTTGCTTGGCCCGAATTTCTATTGCTCAGCCTGAACAGCATTGGACCCGTAGTATCAAGTTGGCCTGGTGAGAAAGGAGAACCAATTTTTATTCCAACCACTAGCACATTTCTGAAGTTTCAGACAACAGTATCCAGAACCAGCAGGTTGAGATAAAGAATTTGCTAGATGAACTCTAAGCATTACACGGAGTGTGCTATTTATAAATACGGATTCATGCCTCAGGTAGCCCAACACTTCAGACGTTGTACATGAAGACAGACAAGCCTAATAAACTCTGACAGGCAAAATATGTCCAGAACACTTGTTCTGCACTCCTTTGTCTCATGTTCCCAATTAAGTCCGGTTTCAATAGAGAACTAAAATACTGTGGTATTTGTGTATGCATCTTTCTAATGTTGTTATTCCCAAATCAAATGTTGACTTACTGAGTTGATCCAAAGCTGATGGTGGCATAATTACTGCAGAAATGCACAATGGAGATAAGATTAGGACAAGTGTGACTGTACAAAGACTACAAAATATACACTTTTATAATTCCTTTCTCTAAAATCTTAAAAAAAAAACAAATCTAAGCCAACCATTTCATTAGGCCTAACGATAGTTAGACCTGCAGGGATGGAGATTTCAGACTTAATCAGAAAAAAGGAGAAGACAAGGTTTTACCTAGTACCTCATTGTGAAGAAACTATTTTCTAAAAGTAATTTTATTTGTTTGTGCATATAGGTGCTCTTAAATCAATACCAACTCCAAACAACATGACATTAGTCTGCCAGCCTGAAAAGTAAGTTGGCTGATCTCTTTCTTCAAGCTAAGGTAGGTACAAGGAGGAGGGGAAAAAAGTTCTTAATCATGACTTTCCATCACTCATAGTGGGTCCAAGATTTGAACAGGAGACTGAAAAAGGAGGATGTCTTCTTCTAATGCTCCTAACCAGGACACACTCAGTAGGTTTTTGAATTACACACTGCTGGGATAAATTCCTCCTCTTTCCTTCCTAAAGCCCCACCCCAGGTCCATTTCTAGCTCCAGCCACAAAGCTGACACCGTGTCTCCATGCTGTTCAGGAATGTTTCTGCCATCATGGCCAAGTCTGTATTACTTGATGTTATTCAGAAACACTCTCCCAACAAGTTTTTAGTCAAACTAAAACATGCACATACTCCTCCCACCTTTCTCCACACCAGACAGGTCCTTGACTCCAGCAGGCTTGAGCAATGAGAAGCAGTGGTATTGGCAAGAGAACAAGGGGAAAAAAAAAAAACACAAAGAGAAGAGTGTATTCCGAGGTATCTACAGCACACTGAAGTGTTATAGCAAATGCTGACATTTCCGGAAGTTTAGCTCCAACTACACTTAGGAGCCATAGGGTTGATTTCCTGGTTAACTGAGGCCCCTTTTATTTTTCCTGACCCGTTGTGGGCCAGGGCTCTGGCCACTGCTGTGGGACCCACCCCACAGCCCTCCCCCACTGCGCTGCCCCTCCCAGCATGTCCCATGGCTATCACCTCCCAGACGGGCAGGGGGAAGGTGGGACCTCGCACCTGCTGACGTGGCCCTGGCAGAAGGCTTCCCTGGCTGCTCGGCCCTTCTTCAGCCACCAAGCAGTGAGGTGGCCTCTCCTGCCCCTGTCCTGGGCTCCCTACAGTGGAAAAGCAACAGTTAACCTGCAGCAAAGCTGGCAGCCGTGGTAGCAGGAGCCAGCACAGGGCTTCCAGCTAGGAACCTCCTGGGATGGGCCAGCCGTGGGCATGGCACCTCCCTGTTCCCAAACCCAGGGGTGAAGATCCAGAATGGGTTGGGCAGTTGGGCCAGTCCGCTCTGGGAAGAGGGACAGCTGCTTGTCCCTGGAGCCCAGCTGCCCGGGGGGGACGCTTCCTGCGCTCACCGTTCTCCCTGGGGACCCGACGCTTCCTTTTGCTGGGGGGAGGCCCCGCGGAGGGTCCTGCCCACTCCTCCTCCCGCCTGTCCCTGCGTCCTGCGGGACGCTGGGCAGAGGGGGACCGTAACCTCTTCATGCATCCAGACCTCAGCTCCATCACCGCCAGTAGCTGCAGCAAAGGAGATGCCCAGGCCTGGGGATGTTGATGCAGTCTCAGACCATCCCAATCGTCCAGCGACCAGGGCAAACACTCCACTCAGCTGGACATGGTTGTGTGGGTGGATTTATCCAGCCCAGGGTCTTTGTGACATGGCACCACACGCTGGTGTGGTCACAGGCACTGTGCAGGGGTACTCTGTGCTGCCACATCTCACTGTCCTTTTTATTCACTTCTCTGATTCAGCATGTTTCTGGTTGGTACCTGTAAGGAGCTGATGACCACTGGGTGTAGGCACTGAGGTCTTGTTCCCCATAGGGAGAGGGGCCCAGATTGATGGAAAACTGCAGGACATCCCTCAGGAGCTGTGTTCTCCATCCCAACATGCTTGCCAGACCCAGTGGGCTAGCCAGACATGCAGCAGCCAAAGCTGCCCAATCCAGAGCCCCATCTCTACGTTCTTCCCTGTCCCACTAGGAACACCACCACCTCACCAACCTCCTGCCTGGCGACAGGCACCCTCGGCAGCCCTGCGAGGGGGGTGGGCAGGGCCAGGCTCCAAGGGCAGGGGCTGCACAATGTGTTCAGCTGCGCTGCAGAGGACGGCTGCATCTGTCCAGCAGCCCTGATGGGCAGAGGAGCCTAGGAAAGCTGGACATTCTTCAAGAAGGAAATCCTGAAGGCACAGGAGCAGGCTGCTCCTTGTGCTGCAAGGCTTCTTCCTGACAGGGAAGAAGGCTGGTCTGGCTGAAGAGGAGGTTTGGCTGGAAGTAAGGCAAAAACCAAAAATGTATGGCTTCTGGCAGAAGGGGCAGGAAACTCAGGAGGACTGCAGAGAGTGTGTGAGGCTATGGAGGGAGAAATGAGAAGGGCCAAAGCCCAACTAGAACTTAACGTGTCTTCTGCCACAAAAGACAACAAAAAACATCATAGAATCATTTAGGTTGGAAAAACTTTTAAGACCAGCAAGTCCAAGCATTAACCTAACTCTACCAAGTCCACTGATAAACCAAGTCCCCAGGCAAGACATCTACATGACTTTTAAACACATTCAAGGATGGTGATTCAACCACTTCCCTGGGCAGTCTGCTCTAGGGCTTGACAACCCTTTCAGGGATGGAATTTTTCCTAATATCCAACCTAAACCTCCCCTGGTGCAACGTGGGGCCATCTCCTCTTCTCCTGACACTTGTTTCTTGTGAGAAGAGACCGGCACCCACCTTCCTCCAACCTCCTGCCAGGTAGTTGTAGAGAGCTGTCACACTGCACGTATCGAGCGGAGAGCAACCCCAGGCCATCACTTTCCAGGATAGACTTGGGGAGGAGGTAGCGGAAGAACCTTTCAGCAAGGTAGAACTTACTGGTTTTACTTCTGTGGTGTATCTGACATGCTGGAGGGAAGGGAGGCC